CTTTGGGAGGCTGAGGTGAGTGGATTGCCTGAGCCCGCGGGTTCAAGACCCGCCTGGGGCAGCGAGACCTCATCTCTACAACAAATCAAAAAATTAGCCAGGTATGGTAGTGCATGCCTGTAGTTCCAACTACTTGGAAGGCCGGAGCCCAGCAGGCGAGGCTGCGGTGGCCGGGAGCGGCCACTGCACTCCAGTCTGGGCAACTGAGTGAGGCTCCAACTCAAAAAAAAAAAAAAAAAATGAATTAACAAATTAACACAAATTTTTCTGAAACTCTTCTAAAAAATAGAAGATGAGAGAACACTGCCCAATTTATTCTTTGAGGTCAGCATTTCCCTGATGCGAAAGCCTGAGAAAAACATTGCAAAAAAAGAAAACTACAGACCAATATAGAGGTATGAATATAGATGAAAGAACTTTTAGCAAAATACTAGCAAACCAAATCCCACAGCATATTAAAAGGATTATACACCATGACCAAGCAGGATTTATCCCCAAAATGCAAAGATAGTTCAACATGAAAGTCAATGTAATACATCACATTAATAGAATGAAACAAAATCCTGTGATCATCTCAATTGATGTAGAAAAAAAGCCATCATTGAAAACAACGACAAAAAACACACAAACTGGGAATAGACGGGAACACTCTCAAAATGACTAAGAGCACGTACGAAAAAGCTCAATTGGCCAGACCCAATGGCTCATGCTTATAATCCTAGCACTTTGGGGGCCAGGGAAGGAGAATCACTTGAATCTAGTAGTTTTAGACCAGCCTGGGCAACATAGCAAGACCACATCTCAACTGAAAACCAAAAAGTTAGCCAGGCATAGTGGTGCACGTCTATAGTCCCAGCTACTCAGGAGGCTGAGGCAGAAGGATTGAGCCCAGGAGGTTGAGCCTGTGGTGAGTTTTGATCTTGCCACTGCACTTCCAGCTTGGGTGACAAAGTGAGACTTTGACTCAAAAAAAAAAAAAAAAACCGAAAAAAAAACTGAATGCAGTGGCTCACACCTGTAATGTCAACAGTTTGGGAGGCAGAGGCAAGAGGATTGCCTGAGCCCAAGGGTTTGAGACCAACTTGGGCAATTTGGTGAGACCTTGTCTCTACAATAAATCAAAAAGGCCAGGTGCAGTGGCTCAAGCCTATAATCCCAGCACTTTGGGAGGCCGAGGCGAGAAGATGGCCTGAGCCCACGGGTTCGAGACTAGCCTGGGCAACATGGTGAGACCTCATCTCTACAATACATCAAAAAATTAGCTGGGTGTGGTGGCGTGTGCCTGAAGTTTCAGCTACTTGGAAGGCTGAGATGGAAGAATCACCTGAGCCCAGCAGGTCGAGCTGTGGTGGCCTTGAGCATGCCACTGCACTCCGACTGGGTGACAGAGTGAGACTCCAACTCAAAACCAAAACCAAACAAAACAATAAATCAAAGAATGAGCCGAGCATGGTGGCGCACATCTGTAGTTCCAGCTACTCAAAAGACTGAGGTCGAAGGATCGCCTGAATCTAGCAGCTCAAGATATGCCGGAACTACAGATTGTGCCACTGCACTCCAGCCTAGGCAATGGAGTGAGGCTTGGACTCAAAAAAATAAAAGAAAAAGCACAACAAGCTCAATGGCAAAAGACTGAAAGCTTTCCCCTTTAGACCAGGAACAGGATGAGGATGGCTGTTCTTGTCACGCCTATTCCACACAGCTCTGGAAGTCCTAGCCAGAGCAATAGGAAGAAAAAGAAAAACAGGCGTCCACATTTTAAAAAGAAGAAGTAAAACTGTATTCACAGATGACGTGATCCTATATATAGAAAAATCCTAAAGCGCCACAAAAAAACAACTCTTAGAGCTAATAAATGAATTCAGCAAAGCTGCAGAATCAAGATCAATACTCAAAACTCAACTGTGTTTCTATAGACTAGCAATAATGCAGTAGGTTAAGAAAACAATCGTATTTGCAACAGCATCAATAATAATAAAACACTTGGGAATATGTTTAACCAAGGAAGTGCCAGACTTATACACTGAAAACCACAAAACATTGTTGAAAGAAATCAAGAAGACTTTAATAAATGAACAGACCTCTGTCTTCATGGACTGGAAGATTTAATATTTAATAAGTTGACAATACTTCCCAAAGTGATCTGTAGATGCAATGCAAACCCTTTCAAAATCCCAGTAGTGTTTTTCTGCAGAAATGGAAAAGTTGATACTCAGATTCACATGGAATTTCAAAGGAAACTGAATATGCAAAACAATCTTAAGGAAGGAGAACAAAGTTGGAGGGGGTCACACTTCCCAATTTCAACACTTACTATAAAGTTACAAAAATCAAAACAGTGTGGTATCAGCATAAGACATATCAATGGAATAAAATTGAGAGAAGAAATAAACCTTCGTGTATATGGACAATTGATATTCGACAAGGGCGACAAGCCCATTCAATAGGGAAGTATTATTTTTTTTAACAAATGGTATTAAGAGAACTAGATATCCACATGCAGAAGAATGAAGTTGGACCCTTATTTTACATCATATATAAAACAACTCAAAATGAATCAAAGACCTAAATATAAAAGCTAAGACTATTAAACTCTAGGAAAGCACAGGGGTAATATTCATGACCTTGGACTTGGAAATTATGTCTTTAGGTATATCACCAATAGCATTAACAATCAAAAAAACCTAGCTAAGTTGGACTTCATCAAAATTAAATATTTTTGTGTATCAAAGGACACTGTCAAGAGAATGAAAAAGTAACACACATAATGGAAAAATTGCAAATTATATATCTGATAAGGGCTGTGTATCCAGAAAAAAAGGTATGTGTATATACATGAAAAGATAGCTGTAGCATCTCCTACGATTCAGCAACAAAAAAAACCAAACAACTCAGGCTGAGCACGGTGGCTCAGTCTGTGATCCCAGCACTTTGGGATGCTGAGGCGGGAAGATTGTCTGAGCCTGGGGGTTTTGAGACCAGCCTGGACAACTTGGTGAGACCTTGTCTCTACAATAAATCACAGAAACTAGCCGGGCATGGTGGCATGCATCTGTAGTTCCAGCTACTTGGAAGACTGAGGCAGAAGGATCACCTGAGCCCAGTAGGTCGAGGCTGTGGTGGCCATGAGCGTGACCCTGCACTCCAGCCTGGACGACAAGAGTGAGACTCTGACTCAAAAAAACCCAAAAAACCCAACAACTCAATTTGTAAAAGGGCAAAAAAAGTAAATAGATATTTCACCCGAGAAGATATACAAAGGTCAACAAGCACATGAAGAG